ATGAGACAGTTCTTTGTCCAACAGGTTCCTTAGGCAAAGATGGTAATGGCTATACACTTGTAAAATTGTGGAATTAACATTACAAGTCAATCATTAGGATGTAATGATTTAAGTTTCATCCATGAACTTAAAAAACCCCTCTTTATTACTGTTATTAATCAAGCCCCCTAAAAAGCATGAACTATTGTTTGCAAGGACAAGTAAAAATATTACCATTTGAAAATGAGAATAAAAGTAAATCTGGAAAGTTTGATAATAGACTTGCTAAAAACCCAACCAAGATAATATATGTTACCTTTCACTTTATAGAAGTTTTACTACTAGGGGGTTTAAAGAAACCCTGCATTATCAACTAGATGCAAGACAGTGGTCTAGCACTGGGATTTAAGATCAGCGTGCATGGCAGAGCTCAGAGTCACAGCTGTGTCTTTGGAGAGGGACTGAGGGTTTAAGAGTCAAAGAAGCAAAGTGGAAAGGAGATTATATGCTACTTTTGGCTGCTTGAACTTTTCATATTCCTTGTAGTATTTTTTCCAACATAAAAAATAGTTACTTAATGAACTTTTAATAATTGAATTAGTATCTGTATAGTGAGCAAAGTAAACTAGTTCTAAAATTTTAGTAGACAATATTTTTATGGCTTTTCCAAGGAGAAAGTCTTATAGAAGAGAGCCGATTTTACAAAACTCGAGGTCATATATATTCACCATTATTTTCTTTTCAAATCATACCATATTTGATTTATAACCATAGCTTTCCTGAAAACTGCACACTTCATTTTAATTATGAATCAACATCTGTCTACCTACTGAAAACCTGGTGGCTGGGATTGTCAGAATAGCTCAACGGTTTTTCATCCCCATTACATCCAGCGTCCTTGACCTTTCCTCTCTCTGTTCTCTCTCCATAGCGCTGCGCAGCAAGAATAAACCCCTGTAAAACCATTACTATTGATGATCACAGGAATTAAAAAATCTGATACACAAACCTAAATCTACATTTTGAAGCATTTAAAAGGTAACATTAGCAGTCTGATTATAAACAAGAACAACTTAAAATATTCAGTTCGAATGAAAATAAAAGGCAGGGTGATATGCAAATAACACATCTTGCTGATGCCTTTAATGGAAATATCCTGATGAAACCCACAGAGGACTTGTCCAATGCCTGAAATATTTATATTCTGAAGTTTTTCTTAAACAGCAAGATAAAGGGATGCTTTCAGATTCTACCACCAGTGAACCAGAAAATAAGATGGTATTTCCAATTCATTTTGTGCATTATTTGTATGGATGATTGAAGCTCTTGAATATTAAAATGCTTAATAAGCAAAGAATCATTCTTTTATTTAAAAAAAATAAATGACTGCACGCTTCATTCTTAGCTACATTTCACCTAGAAACTTAGGTTTAGTGTTATTTTTTTCTTGACAAAGTTTACTTATAATGAAATGTAAATGGAATGCAGAGGGGGAGCAGAGTATATCTCTCCATATTTAAGTTACCAGCTTTTAACGATACTGTTGATTCTAGTTACAATGCAGTGCATTACAGCACACAGTTTTAAATAAATGCATTTAAAACTGCATTTCCCAGTCACGTGACTGGGAAAGAGAGGCAGACGTTGGAAGAAAACGTGAGAAAAAGCAGAACTTCTAGTGAAGCTGTAAGGGGGGTGGGGGAGAGCTTGTGGTTTACACTATCCAATTTGATTATCGACACAGCTTTCATCCAAACTGAAACGTTTCCCTTTCTTTGTTTCCCACACCCTATGTAGAAACAGGCTCCAGGGGGGTTGGTAGACACAATCAGAGAGAAAGATAGCCTCCCTGTTCCAATCCACTGCATACACGTCTGTGTTTCTTAGGAGAAAGCCTAGTCCTTCATCAATTTGGTATGGCCTGCATCCGGCTTTATTTAACTTGACTAGCGGTGTCTGGGATGCCCGGAAAAGGCCACCGAGCTTGGTAAAGCACAGGGCAGCGACAAAGAGGAAACCCCTCAGTGAGAAGGATTGACAGAGCAGCGCCGTAACAACATAACCACAATTGTGAGGGTGGCGCAGGACTGGGCAGCATCGCCTCGTTTCACATCGGGTTGCTAAGCGTCAGAACTCACTCCTGGCCTCTAACAACACCAGCGACTCAGCAGGAGAACTCAGAGGCTTTCTGTTGCCCCCAAAATCCAAAACCTACTTGGAGAGAGTGAGTGGTTCCCATTCCACCCTGCCCCTGCCTCAAAGCTTTCATGATTAATGACTTCTGTAAGGCCAGGGGGTAGTCGATAAGTTAAAAAACAGTCTATACATTGTACCACCTAGTGGATCACAGAAGAGATGCATGGAAACTTTATAGCTCAGACCTCCTCCTCTAAGAGGTCCTTAGCTTGCCAAACTGCATTTCATGGATCCTATTGGCTGGAACCCCTTCCAACTACTATAATTACAGGGTTGAGGTCTTTTGTACTACCTCATTCTCTCCTTTTCCAGGGCCCCACATCATTTTAGGACTCTTCTCCATGACAAGGGTATTGCGAATCCTGCTGTTGATTCCTCTGTCTTCCTCTTCCCCTGCCAGCAACTGACGAAACGCAAAACAAAAAGTACTGCTTTCTGGACATCATCCAAACTCACAGCATTCAAAATGCTTCATTTCTGTCTCCCCATTGCCTCGTCACTAGACTCTCACTCCGAGCCTCTATTCCACACAAATGAAGTTGCATGGCAGGCCTGTGAAACATTCTTGATACAGCTTCAGCACTGCAGTTTGGCCAGCTGCCCCCTTCCCTGCAATACCCTCCTGCTGTCCACTTCCTCTTTGACCATGAGACTTCAACCCTCCTTTACCAATGCCAGAGGTTTGCGCCTTTACCAGCCTCATCTTGATCAGCCCAACCAGAATGATGTCTTTCTCACTGAACCAACCTACTATGTGAAAAACATTATAAAAGGTGCTATGATGTTTGCAGGCAAGGAGAATCTACACTTACATTGATATGCTAGGTAGAGGAAGGGGCGAGATAAGAAAAAGCAACTAAAAAGGAAGGTTGACTGCGAAGTATTGATAAAACGGTGTCTTTCGCATAGTAGTGACTCAGCTGATGTGGACTGAAAGAGTGAGCAATGAAAGACCAAACAGAAAATGTTTAAGTTGAAACCGTTTGCCGCCGATTCTGGTTTCAATTTGAAGAAGCCCAGGTCAATGTCTAAATTCCATATATGCATGTTCTCTATTAGCCTATTTTCAGTAAAGAAAGAAAAGATTTTTACATCAGTGTTTTCTTCAAAGGAGACAGAAATGATTCAAGACATCTTTTCCCTCCACTTTATTTTGAAGATTTTTAAAAAGGAAAACAGTACTTTGAAAGAGTAACAATGATAAAGCCATCTATTTGGGCTTATCCCTCCACACTTAACTAAGAGAAATCTTATTTCACATTAGGCAAATCATTGATAGGGATTTTAAAGAGGAAACAATCTCAGAAATTGAAAACTCAAAGCTGTTCTTTGTTTAAAACATTTTCTATCAAGATTCTGAACAAATGTGACTGAAAATAAATACAACACTGAAAAGTACAATGTAACATTAGAAATCTTAATATCAGGAAACGCAGCTAGCACCTACATCACAAGTTAAACACATCATTCTTCTAGGATGTAAGAAGTGTGATTCCTGATGTGCAAGGGACTATTTTTTCAATTTTCTTTTCATTCGGACATTAAATGGACATTAATTAATCACATATTATGTGTCCAACATTCTACCAACTCAAAATAAACTCATGGCCATCAAGTCAGTTCCATTTATTTATGTATGTGTAAGTAAACACATCCTCTATGTCATTCAAAGTCAATGACGTCCTACTTCAAACCTCATTTCACCTTCAGGATATTCACTCAATGTATTTCTTCCTGTGACCCAACTCCTCCTTCCTGACCCATTCACGGAAACTGTAACAACTCTTCAAGAAATATAGCAATGATAATTGTACCATAATATCTTAAAGAAATCTCACAGCCTTATGTACCTTTTCAAGCCTGAAAACCTGTATTGTATCATTTAGATTTTCTTAGGTGCGCCTGACAATCTGCTTCACCCGATAATTAGTTTTCACCTTGGCTTATAGCCCACAACACTATCTATTCATAACGGAAGAGATAACGATATTTACCATTGTGTAGATTGGGGATATACATAGATTATTACATACAAATAAATAATCTATAAATATATATAATAAATAAAATACATACTATATAAATATATTATATATATAATGATATACATATATATTATTTGTGATATCCAATTTTCTTACCTGTACGTTTGTTTTATTAAAATAGAGGAGAGTGATCAACATGGCTTTTATGCCACCCCATCAAAGACTCCATTGCTGTCAAGCACACCCAAACTCAGAGGAGCTACAGGGCAGAGTAAATCTTCTCTACAGCGTGACCAAAGTCTATAAATCTGGATGGGAGCAGGCAGCCTTCTCTCTCCCCCAGAATAGCTGGTGGCTTTGAACTGCTGACCTTTTGGTTAGCAACCCTACACTTAACCCACTGTGCCACCTGAGCCCCTACATGTCATCCGGATAACTAAATGTATGATGCTGGAAGGACAGCAACTCAAGTTTGTGGTGCCTGCCTCCGGCACACCCATGTAGTCTCTTCCTCACATCTTTGATTTACCTTTTTTTCCCACCCTGATTCTTCCCTTTTCATGATTTCTCTCATTCGAGTCTTTTGCAATTTAGGTCTGCAAGGCTGTGATTTGGAGTTTTGCTTCTCTTTGCCAGAAGCATGGATGAAATGAAATACTTTTCATTTTGGGTGGTATGTGACCAAGAATCACAACTTTACTAGAGTACTGGTAATCTCTAATCTGGCCTCCAACAGGGTGGCGACAAAATTACTTTTGAAATTCAAACAAGAATCAGTGTTGTGAAGGACTGTAGTGAAGTTGTAAATTAGTGAAGGTGAAGGGGTCGAAAACCACTTACCCCCAGTTGCCACAGTGATTTCACGCAGGGAGTGGCCATAGAACGGAAAATCGAAGGACAGATTTACTCTCTGCAAGAAACAACCCAAGAAAAGAAAATCAATAATGTGCAAAAGACTAACTGAGAAAGGTGAAGAGGTTTTCATTAGAAACAAAAACAAAAAAACCAACGTGTTGACTCTACTCAAGTATTATTGTACTTTGTAAATCAGAATCTTTGATAGTAATACATTTCTTTTTCCTGATCATTAAATTCAGGAGCACAAGAAGCAATCAGGTTAGAAGCATCCAACTTACATTTAACTCATAGTTAGGAACCTACCTAAAAAGGTATACAAGAGGCATATACAATTACAAATAGGTGCTACTTTGCAATACAAACAAAAATATTATGATTAATATATTATTATATTAAAGGTAATTTATGGTAGCTGGAAGTGATTCATTAATTTTTCTGCATAGAAAGGTATACTACATGCTACATACTAAAAGAAACATTTGACTGACATGAGATGTAAACCCTATCTAACTATTCCAATTTACATAGAGATTCTACT